CGTGGGAAACCACAAGTATCCCTTCATGCACTAGAATGTGATGGTGAGGCATTGGATAATTGGTTCTCTGATGAAGAAAAAGTGTTCACAACACCAGGGTTTGATATTTCACCCATAGTTCAAGCTACAAAACAAAGCATCTGGGCCCTGGCTCAAGTGACAACATCGGACTTGCTCGATAACGTTATCAACAAGTTCAGTATGATGTTTTCAAAATCTGTTGGCCTGCCCCCTAAACGAGAATGCGATCACCGGATCAGATTGCTTCAAGAATCCAATCCAATAGCAGTACGTCCGTACCGCTACCCTCACCTCCTTAAAGATGAAATAGAAAGGCAGTGTATCGAGATGCTTCGCGACGGGGTCATTCGTCCGAGTAGTTCTCCGTTCTCCTCTTCGGTATTTCTGGTGAAGAAATCTGATAACACTTTGAGATTTTGCATTGATTATTAAGATCTCAACAAAATTACAGTGAAAGACAAGTGTCCAATTCCAGTCGTTGATGAATTACTTGATGAATTACATGGAGCTCGATTTTTTACAAAACTCGACTTAACATCATGGTATCATCAGGTTCTCATGTTCGAAAATGACATCGAGAAAACGGCTTTTCGCACTCATCATGGTCACTACGAATTCTTGGTAATGCCGTTTGGTCTCGTCAATGCCTCATCCACTTTTCAAAGCCCAATGAATTTGGTGTTTACTGAGGTTCTTCGCAAATTTTTCTTAGTATTCTTTGATGACATCTTGATCTATAGTAAGACGTGGACGGATCATGTACGACACGTTGAGTATGTGTTAGAGGTGTGACAAATACATCAGTTGCTGTTAAAAAGGGTCAAGTGTTCGTTTGGAACACAAAAGGTGGGCTATTTGGGACATGTTATCTCAAAGAAGGGTGTCCAAGTTGATCAAGAAAAAATTGAAGCTATTATTAAATGGCCTCAACCAGCATCAGTCCGTGCTGTGCGAGGATTCTTGGGCTTGGCAGGATATTACCAAAAATTAATCCAAGATTATGGGTTCATGGCTGATCCATTGACTCAACTCCTGAAGAAGAAGGGATTTATTTGGACCGAGGCTGCAACAAACACTTTCATCTCCTCAAAAAGGCACTCTCCGAATCTCCAATCTTGGCACTCCCAGACTTCACCAAAGAATTTATTGTAGAATGTGACTCTTCAGGAAGTGGGATTGGTGCGGTTCTACAGCAGGAAGGTCACCCCATCTCTTTTTTTTAGCCACACCTTAGCAGCTCGCCATGTAAAACTGGCTGCATACGAACGAGAATTGATTGGGCTAGCTAAAGAAGTGATTCATTGGAGACCGTATTTATGGGGGACACGTTTTCTCATACGTACAGATCACTACAGCCTTAAGTATTTATTGGAACAACGTCTCTTGACATCTCCACAAGTACATTTGATCAGTAAGCTACTTGGGTTTAATTTCTCAGTCAAGTATCGTTCCGGGATGACAAATAAGGTTGCTGATGCTTTGTCTAGATGTCACGAGAACGATTCAGATGAGGTTACGAAATTAAATGCCACCAGTGTTTCTCAGAATGATATTGTAACATCCCGAGTTGTGATATATGAAAAGACTTAAGAGGATTGATTTGGCTACCTATGTCACCAAAGTGCACTTACCTTTTCGGGAGCACATCCCGAGAGAACTCCAGAGTTAAGCGTGCTTGAGCTGGAGTAGTCAAAGGATGGGTGACCTATCGGGAAGTGGTTTGCGATACCGTGTAAGTGAGGCCAAAGCACGGGGAAAGGTCGGGTGGTGATTGCAGGGTCAGTAAACATGACTCTAGAGCCTAAGAAAATTAACGGACCGACCGTTGGAACGAGATGGGCCCACGGGCCGAGAGAGCGGGCGTGGGTGGCCCATTAGCCGTGGGCGGTCGGGGCGTTACAAGTGGTATCAGAGCTGGTTAGCCATCTCAGTTCTGACCTGAGAGGCGTCTTGAGACCTGTCGGGGGCGCAACGAGGACGTTGCGTTCTTTGAGAGGGGGTGAATTGTAACATCCCGAGTTGTGATATATGAAAAGACTTAAGAGGATTGATTTGGCTACCTATGTCACCAAAGTGCACTTACCTTTTCGGGAGCACATCCAGAGAGAACTCCAGAGTTAAGCGTGCTTGAGCTGGAGTAGTCAAAGGATGGGTGACCTATCGGGAAGTGGTTTGCGATACCGTGTAAGTGAGGCCAAAGCACGGGGAAAGGACGAGTGGTGATTGCAGGGTCAGTAAACATGACTCTAGAGCCTAAGAAAATTAACGGACCGACCGTTGGAACGGGATGGGCCCACGGGCCGAGAGAGCGGGCGTGGGTGGCCCATTAGCCGTGGGCGGTCGGGGCGATACAGATATTTTGGCTCGAGTTCGCAAAGAATTTCAGAATGACGATAAGCTTGGCGAACTCAGAGATAAAATCATTCGAGGCGAGGAAACGGAGATATGGGAAGCAAAGGATGGTCTTATTTTTCGCAAAGCAGTAGTTTATCTGGATTCAAATTCAGATCTGGTCCGAGATGTTATGACTGGTTTTCATAATTTTGGTAATGAGGGTGTCCAAAAAACTATGGAACGGATCCGTTGGGATTTTTATTGGAGAACGTGGAAGAAAAATGTTCAAGAATTTGTGAGCACTTGCCAAATATGTCAGAAGAATAAATGGGAAAAGCTGCAGCCCGCGGGATTGATGCAACCACTATCGGTTCCAACAAAGATATGGGCTGATATCTCGATGGATTTCGTCGAGGCATTGCCGAAAGTTTCAGAAAACAGTCATCTTGGTGGTGGTTGATCGCTTTTCAAAGAATGCACATTTTATCGCTTTAAGTCATCCTTATACTGCTGTCTCTGTGGCCCAAGTTTTTTTCGAGACATTGTACAATTGCATGGTATCCTAGAGACGATAGTATCAGACAGAGATAAGGTTTTTCGCTGAATTTTCTTGACGGAACTCTTTCGGTTTATGGGTACCAACTTGTGTTTTACAACAGCCTATCGGCCACAATCCGATGGTCAGACCGAGGTGGTCAATCGGACTCTAGAGATGTATCTGCGGTGTGTCACGGGAGATGAACCACGGAAATGGCTTACATGGCTTCCTTGGATTGAGTATTGCTATAACACATCCTATCACACTAGTTTAAAGGATACGCCATTTAGGATGGTTTATGGAAGAGAGCCACCTCGTCTTTTAGACTATACTACAAGAAGTTTGAAAATAGAAGCTGTTGATGTTGCACTAGAAGAGAGAGATGATTCTTTAGCGACAGCAAGGGAACATTTACTAAACGCTCAAAACAGAATGAAAGCATCCTATGATAAACATCATCGCTCAGTCGAGTTTGGCATAGGGGAATGGGTTTGGTTGAAGTTACATCCATACAGACAGCTTATTGTTGCTAAGAAAGCTTTCACAAAGCTTTTCCCAAAGTTTTATGGACCATTTGAAATACTAGCTCGCGTGGGAACAGTTTCCTTCCGTCTTCGTCTTCCAGATGGTGCTCAAATCGGCAGGCTCATATCAGATTCATGAGAAATAAAATGTGCAGAGTGAAACGGTTTCAGCTATTGATCATGAGAAGGACTTAAATGATATATTATCAGTTTCACATGTCACAGAAGTGGATGACTTGTCTCTGAATCTGGAGAATGAAGTGATTTTGCAGGCAGAACAGGTTGCAGAGATGCCTGCGCTTGTTCCTGAGACAGATATGGTAAAGCAAATGGCTTTATTAAATGTGGATGTTGTGTCTATGAGTTGTAATGACTGTCATATTTCAAGTTGTTCTTCGGGGGAAGTAATGTTTAAGAACACTTCAAGTTCAGAGGCTACTCAAGAGAAAGAGCTTACGCCTGCGTCACTTCAGGAGATGGAACAAAAGACTGACCTAACAAATGAGATATCAGCCAATACTTGTGTGGACCAGCCTAATTCGTTTCTGGAGTATGCTTTGGTGGATAAGATATATTTACCATCCACAACTTAGAAAACAGGGGAGACTCAGCAACAAGCATTGGAACAGAACACAGATAGAGTCCAGCAAAGATGGTGAAAAGGATATCGTCACCAACTATGAAAGATTTTATGTGACCTCTTATCAAGCGGCACATAATTATTCACCAGTACCAGCTCAGGTAGGAGATTCAGTGAAAATTTTGAGTGGAACTGTGATTGTTGATGCAGAGAATGTGGAGATTGCTTGTGTCTCGAGACTGTGTGGTCACAGATTTCGACGGGGTCCAAGTAGGAAGTGGCAGAGGAAGTGCTTCAAAACTTGGAAATTCAAGTTTAAAAAAAGGAAGGTCTCGCTGAGAGTTCTAAGACAGGGTTTCAAATTCACAGAAAAGAAGTTTAAGTTCATGAGCAGTATAGAAAGTATGTGGGAAGGGACTATGAGTACGAGATGGCTGACGGTCCAATGGAACTGTTGTCTTCCTTTGCTTGTCGTGGCACTCAACAATAAGAAACTGCAGGAAGGGGACAATGCTGCGTATGGGAGCAGACTGAGACACACACATATATAACGAGGGAAATGCACAATGAGATTGATTCAACTAATCAAGGAACTGAAACAGGTTTCACTAGAAGATGGCAAGTTCCAAGTGAAACATAAGTAGCGGTTTAAGAAGTTAGAATCAGTTTTGGGGAGATTACTTGTGTTGCTGAGGCAGATGGAAGTTGTGTGGCCGTGGTGTTGTTTATATATAACAATGGATCAGTCTCAAGTGCTCGCTCCTATCATAGTGGTATTACAATCTGTTTCTCTAATAAAAGTTGCAGGAAATATAATAGAATTGCAAGCACAAGAATCTATTCATGAGAGTGTGTCCATTATTTCGCTCAGTTCAAGCTTGGGGTCAAGCTTATTTTTAAGGGAGAGAGTATACATGCGAATGTTGACTTGCTTGTTGATAATGGATATGTTGATGTGGTTGTTTGCTACAGCAAGCGAGTCTGATCTTTTTAAGAAAATGGTGAGAGAACGAAGGGAAAAGACAGAACCATGTATAGATGAGATGGTACGAGTGGAGAATCAGCAATCACTTAAAGAAAAGGGCTTTATAGAGATGCAAGTTAAGAGACATCAAGGGCAGGTTTTGATACATCAACAGAAGCAATAGAAGAAGTTCTACAAATCATGGATGTTCAAATACAAAGAGAGACTAAATAAAATGCAAGTTCTGCCATTACATGTTGTGCTTCTTTGGAGTAATTCTTGCTCTGTTTGGCATCGCTGGAGAAGTAAAGTTGATTCCACTGGCCATGCTGAGATGGTTGGCGCATTAGAGTGTCTGATAAGCATAGAGATTGAAGCTGGAACGTTCAAGGCATATAGACTTGTAGTGTTTTCATGTCAGTGGAGATCACGTCAGTTTATGAAAGGAAGAGATGGTGTTTTCTTTTCATACAAGCTTGAGGGCAAGCTTGTTTTGGTTGATGGGAGTATTGATAGGCTTCTATTCTCTTGAGTCTGACGTGGCAAGTGATATGCTGACATGTTAATGAGGAAGGCTCAGGAGAGCCTTGGTCTGGTGCAGAAGGTTTGCTGTTAGAGTTAGCTCAGGAAGAAGTCGGATATAAGAAGAGAAGATGACGATGAGAGAGGGTATGCTTGATGTTGTTTGTTCTTAGAGGCTATGAGTCTAGACTTCACAGTCGCCATGAAACTGGTGTGCTGAGCTTGTTCGCCATGAGAACATAGCTTAGTGTCACACTCAAGCTGTAATCGGTTACCATTGATAATAAGAAGAAGAGTTCGTTGTTTATAAGGGATAGAGATACCTAAAGTCTATCAGAGTTTTTTGTGAAGCTTAGGGAGGGATGGGGGCATATCAAGAATGTAGTCAAGCTTGTAGAATGTAGTCAAGCTTGTCTTCGTGATCAAGAATCTTGCCCAGAAGAGTTAGTTGATCAAAACGTGAGGTGAGTCCTTGAAGATACACATACAGTCTTGGTTACTTTCGTCCATTGCCTGATCTGGTTCAGCAGCTGCTTGATGTGACCATATGTGGACGTAAGAGTTGTCCATACGCTAGCTGACGTTGATGCCATGGAGACCAGCAGCTGAATTTTCTGAGAAATATCTCCCATAGGTGCACTGAAAATTATTTTTTCTTGTCTTTTCCAGAGAAGAAAAGCTGGAGTGGGAGTAGTGACGACTTCGATAGTGATACTAGTATTTGGTGCAGGGGCGAGTCATCAAGATAATGGGCAAAGTTAATACCCATATGAACTTGGCGGCTCCAAAGCAGAAATAGTTGGATGCAATGAGCTTGATGACGTTTGACATGTTGATGTTCAGTAGAGAGGTGGTATTAGGCACAACAGTCTCAACGGATGAGGTTACATTAGGAATAGGTGAGACATACGAGTTAGAAGATAGCGACGAAGATAGAACTTGGTGGCTAGAAAAAATTGGATGCTATGTAAAAGCATGCTCTGATACTATAAAAGGTGTAAAGGATAATTGTATTGATAAACTTATGTACATCTTTATACAAAATAGAGAAGCCATTATAGAAGATGATTTGTGTGATTGATATACAAGGATTGTGGAAAATATACGAGAGTAAAAAGAGGATCTTCTTTTCTTAATAGAGAGTCCATAGTTTTCTTTATGCTTGTTTTGATGAGCCCATAGTTTTTTTCCAAGGCCATGAACTCATCTACGGGACTCCCCCAATAGAGGAGTTGTGAGCAGATTAACTTGATTTCTTGAAGATAGTCTTTCATGGGATGTTTAGTTTGTTGATGGTTGAAGATTTCTCTAAAGCTCAAAGAGTCTAGCGGAGTTTGCTCTGTTGTAGTGTTTCACCAGAGAGATCCAAACATCATGGAATGTTTGACAGTCAGCAACAAAACCCAAAACATCTTTAGAAAGGACCCCAGCAGCAATAATTTGATGACATGATCTGTCTGAAACCACTTCTTAAAGTCTAGATTTGAGGCTTCTGTTGCAGTGTCGTTGCTGCCTGGGCGATAAGTGTGGCAGGAGGACATTGAGACTGATCTGTGGCGAACCCAAGAAGACCAGTATAAGAAAGCCTTGAACTGTGATTTTCATAGAATCTATTTTGTCTCCGTAAGAAAGAAGGTAGATACTAAAGTTCCATGTTTAGAGCTTCCATGAATCTAATACCATGAAAGAATTATGTAAACACCGAGGGGAGAAGATGAAGTTTTGTATATTATTAACTCTTCTTGCTTACACAAACGCTTGTTCCAAATCATAAATGCAAGTTTCCATCCTGTTTCCAAAATGAAATTTTCCAAAAACGTGTTTCCAAGAGTTTCCTCGAGTTTCGAAGAGATTTCGATTCCGAAGCGTTTCCGAAACAGGAAACGGACATTGAACGGAGTTTCCATGCAACATAGATTACAAGAGTAACTTATTTATACATTCATATTGAAAACCCTAAGGTCATGCCAGATGTATTCATCTTTATTCAGTGCAATCATCAATGACTGCAAATGCATTGGACGTTTGATATGATAGAATCCTTTTGTACCAGACTTCGTCATTTTCTTATCATTAACTTTGTCTTTTACGGTTTTTTCATTTGATGAATGTTTTGTGTAAAATTGACAATGGCTATATTCTTAACTAGATCATAACCTGTCCGACTGGGCGGTGTTGGGGTCAAAATCAGTACGACGAAATTAAAAGCCAAAACTCCCCGCAAAAATACAAAAGGAATAGTTGTATAAAACCCGAGGATTCGTTTTATAAAACTCAAAGTCATTTATAAAACTCGCAGACCGTTTTATAAAACTCGAGAATCGTTTTATAAAACTCGAAAAGCCGTTTTATTAAACTCGAAGATCGTTTTATAAAACTTAAAGATCGTTTTATAAAACTCGAGAAGCCGTTTTGTAAAACTCGAGAAGCCGTTTTATAAAACTCGAAGATCATTTTATAAAACTCGAGAATCGTTTTATAAAACTCGAAAAGCCGTTTTATAAAACTCGAAGCCGTTTTATAAAACTCGAGAAGCCGTTTTATAAAACTCGAAGATTGTTTTATAAAACTCGAGAATCGTTTTATAAAACTCGAAAAGCCGTTTTATAAAACTCGAAGATCGTTTTATAAAACTCGAAGATCGTTTTATAAAACTCGAGAAGCCGTTTTATAAAACTCGAGAATCGTTTTATAAAACTCGAGAATCATTTTATAAAACTCGAAGATCGTTTTATAAAACTCGAGAATCGTTTTATAAAACTCGAAGATCGTTTTATAAAAATTCAAGTTTTATAAAACTCGAAGATCGTTTTATAAAACTCGAGAATCGTTTTACGAAACCGAAAAAAACCGAAACAGCCGTAAAACGCGAACTAGTCCCGTACCGACTAGTTCGCCCACCGGCAAACTAAGCCGAGCTGGCTTAGTTTGCCCGTGGGCGAACTAGTCCCGTCCCGACTAGTTCACCCACGGGCGAACTAAGCCAGCCGGCTTAATTCGTTGTTGGAAGAACTAGAGACTTCCTGGACGTCCCGAGCCTCGGTCTCCCACATTTCCGATTCGAAACGTACGTCTTTCGACACGGTAACATTCTGAACCACGGCCGAAACATCTCCCGTTCCATCTCGATCCGACGTATCGTTCGAGTTTTACGATAAAAACCGTAAAACTTCGTCTTCTCGACAAAGAACTCGAGGAAATTGTATAAAATGGCAACGGTTAAACGAAACACCGGACATTGCCTAAACTATACGATTTATCCGAGATTTCTCGTTGAAATCATAATAAACGCGTTTTTAATAAAAACGTCGAGTAAATCCTTAAAAAACGTGTTTTTAATAAAAAGTCGAGTACATCGTAAAACCTTACGATTAGCTCGAGGAACTTATTAAAAATAGCATCGGATCAGGAAACGATCTCGTATAAAGTCGGAAAACGGATTTACCGCAAAACAGCCCGGAAGGTCCTAAAACGCGATAAAAATCCATCTCGCGATCTTAACGGAATTTAACCCGAAGATACGATAACGTTTCGAAGGTTTACTCGCAGGAGGAAGATAAATGTCAAGTTTGAAGATAAAAGGAAGGTTTGAAGAAAAATAGAAGATTTCCGCGGAAGAAAAGGAAGGATCGAGAAAAATGGAAATTCCCGATATAGTCAAATCTAGGCGAAATGGAAAGACCGAATGGCCAAGGCGAGGAGTATATAAATAAGAGGTCTAGGGCAGAAGCAAGGGACACGATTTTTCAGAGCTCTCACCACCAAAATTAGCATTTATGAATATTTCCGTTTTCTGTTAGCGAGCTGCGTCTCAATTAAGGTTTTTCGTTCTTAAGTTTCACTACAAGAATACTCGTCCATTACTAGGACGGGTTTTCCTTGTTAGTTCCTAGTAAATGGCCTTTTACTAGGAACTTACGAGGAAACGCGTTTCCTCGAAACACGTTCATCGTAAAGCCATTTTCCTCGTAAGGTCGTAACGAATTTACGAGGAAATCTTTCCTCGTAAAGGCGTGGTAAAATTTTCCTCGTAAGGTCCTCGTAAGCTCGTAGTAAACATTTCCTCGTAAGGTCGTAGTGATACATTACGAGGATATTACTTGGAATATTTTACGAGGATTTTGCTTGGAAATGTTTTTTTCCTATTACAAAAATAATTACAAATAATTAATTTATTTTTTTAAAAAAAAACAAATCAAATTATAATTAAAAATAAAAAAACAAAATATTTTATAAATAACTAGATAATATACAATAAGTTTTTAAATTCATAATATACAAATAAAAATAAAAGAAACTACGGATGCTGGTCGTGAAATTGCTGACTGAACAAAACGTCGTCCTGGCTCGGCAAATCCTCTCCATAGTTAGTTGCCGGCTGTGACTGTGATGGCGGAGGATGTTGGGTACTTGGAATCCCTGCACGTTCCCGTCTCTGACGCAACAGCTCCTGCACTTGCGGGTTTCCAACCGCCATAATGTCGAGGATATCGGTGAGAGAAGTGACATTCTCGGTGAGCGAAGTCACTTGAGACTGCGTCGCCTGAAACTCCGAGCGCAGCTGATCATTGACATCGTGCTGCTCCTGATGATAAGACGATGTCGCTGCAGGGACATCGTTAACCGAGCCAATCCCGATGATACGCTCCTTTTTCCTAGGGGCGACCTGAAAATAAAAATATTAATAACATTAAGAAATTTTTTTAAAATATTAAAAATTAATAGTAAAACAAATTATTTACCTCCTCGTAAATCTTATCCACGTCAACAGTGGATAATATGACTGGAGACCCAGTCTGCTGAGTCAGCTGGGTCTGGCGCTCGTCAACTCGGGCAACAAGCTCGTTGTAGATCCTCTCCGAAGCAGGATCTACAAACTGCCCAGCCTTGTTCCGGTGGGTCCNAGGCCATCCCACACCGTGGTTGTGAGGCAATCGGGTTTCCCGGCCTCGTAACCATCCACCTGATTAAAAAAAAAATTAGATCATTAAAGTCAATATATAATATTTTTAAAACTATATATATATTATAATTTATAAATCAATACCTCATAGTCGCCCTTCCAGTTGTAGACCGTGTCGAGCAATCATGCTTTTGCCTTGGCCTCAAACTCCTTCTTCACTCGGTCGTGAATCCCAATAGACCA